AAGGAATGGCCAGGGAGGCCACCAGTGAGGTAGAGGAAGCCAATCGAAAGACTGTAATGGCCATTTATACCATGCAAAAGAGTTAGAACGCCATCCTGAGGGCAGAGAGGAGCCATGGATGGGCATTAAGCAGGAGAGTAATGCGATTAGAACTACATTTTAGAGAGCTCTCTGGGGTAGCAGAAGGCATGTGTTCTCAAACTTCAGCTGCATTAGAATCACCTGGGGGGCAGTGCTCAAGGAGACTTGGAATTCTGAGCCCCACTCCATGAGTTTCTTATTCAGCAGGTCTGAGGCAAGGCCTCTCTCTTTGAGACAGTCTCACTCTGTTGCCCAGGCTGGAGTGTAGTGGTGTGATCTCACTGCATCCTCTGCCTCCTGTGTTCAGCAATTCTCCTGCCTCAGCCTCCTGAGAAGCTTGGATTACAGGCGCCCACCACCACGACCGGCTAATTTTTAAAATATTTTTAGTAGAAATGGGGTTTCACCATGTTGGCCAGGCTAGTCTTGAACTCCTGACCTCTAGTGATCCACTGCACCCAGCCTGAGGCATGGTCTTGAATATACAGGTCTCACATTTCCAGGTGATACTGCTGCTGGTGGTCTGAGGACTACAGCTGGACTCACTGATGTAGAGGGTGGGATGGAGAGTTTGGGCAGCAAGACCATTCTGGAAGCTGTGGAAATAGCCCAGATGGGAAGAGACAGAGCCAGGGCTGATCACATTCTAGATCTGGGTGCTGTGAATTTTTCAGCACCTTAACGGTGAGATTGCAGCCATGGTGGCAAGAGGCTGTTTCTTGGAGGGACATCCACCGGGCAATCATGTGTCCCTGGCAACGGTCAGGACAGCCCCTGACACCCCACCTGGGGGGACCGATCCACAGTCGGTAATGAGCTTTAGAAAGCACGATAAAGACAAGATGCCCAGAGTTGCAGTTTAATGTTTAATGCCCAGTTATCTCAATACAAGGAGGTTTATGTGGTGCTCATCAAGACAGGACCAGGGTGAAACCAGGCCTGAGGGAAATGACCTGCATGAGTCCCAGCACGGGACCACGTTCTCTCAGGTCCAGCTCACCCTTGAAAAGTGCCACAGGCAAGGTTCTTCAGGTCACCTAGGAGCCAGCAGGCTGGTCGGGCTTGTGGCCATCACAGTCACTAAGGGTCCTTGTGGGAGAATAGGGTTCTGGGACCTCAAGATACAATGACAAGAACCAGAAAGCTGCTTCCAAACAACCCCAAAAGGCTTTCACTTCACATACACTAGGCCACCCAACACCTGGATGCTGGTTCACCCAAACCCTTTCCCTAAAACTAAACACTGTGCAGAACGGAGGCTGAGAACACAAGGGGAGGGGGAAGTCAGAACCATCCCGAAGGGTTTTTTGAGCTTGACCACCTCCCTCTTCTCCCCTGCAGGCACACCAGCTGGTCCCATTATGGTGGAAAAGGGTCACCCTCTGGTCTGTTCTAACACCTTTAATGGGAAGGGAGTTAGGAACATGTCCCTGGCTTCAAGAAATCTCTGAATCTCTAACTCTACTGGATGATTTCCTGGAACCCTAAACTTTAGATGTCCCTGGGGACATGGGTGATTTTTGAGGGGCTGCAGTTTCCTGGAAGAAACTGTTTTCCTCAGAAAGAAACTGGCTTTTCTCCTACCCTAGTTTTAAAGTCTACCTGGTGCCTAAAGAAAATACTGCTCAGCTGGGCACGGTGGCTCAAGCCCGTAATCCCAGCACTTTGGGAGGCCGAGGTGGGTGGATCACGAGGTCAAGAGATCGAGACCATCCTGGTCAACATGGTGAAACCCCGTCTCTGCTAAAAATACAAAAAATTAACTGGGCGTGGTGGCATGTGCCTGTAATCCCAGCTACTCAGGAGGCTGAGGCAGGAGAATTGCCTGAACCCAGGAGGCAGAGGTTGCGGTAAGCTGAGATGGCGCCATTGCACTCCAGCCTGGGTAACGAGTGAAACTCCATCTCAAAAATAAAAAAAAAGAAAATACTGCTCAGGCTGGGCGCACTGACCCACGCCCATCATCCCAGCATATTGGGAGGCTGAGGTGGGCGGATCACTTGAGGTCAGGAGTTCAAGATCAGCCTGGCTAACATGGCAAAAACCTGTTTCGGCAAAAAATACAAATTTAGCTGGGCATGGTGGTGCATGCCTACAGTCCCAGCTACTGGGGAGGCTGAGGCAGAAGAATCGCTTGAACCTGGGAGGCGGAGGTTACAGTGAGCCAAGGTCAAGCCACTGCACTCCAGCCTGCGCAACAGAATGAGACTCCACCTCAAAAAAAAAAAAAAAAGAGAAAAAGAAAAAACGAAAAAAAAAAGACCACTCAAAATGATGAGTCCTGAAAGCACTCCGTGGAAGTTGGGAGACTTCAATAATCACTGGCAAGAACAGGGCATGAACTTGTGTCCTGCACTGAATCCAAGGCTTAGCCTGGGCAGTCTAGCCCCTTGGCTAGGTAAGGTGTGAAAAGGACAGCACGTGGCGGCGGGCAGTGGGGACAGAGACCGCTGCTCAGGACACAGGCCACAGCCTGAGGGCAGTTCCCCTGTCCAGCCCTATGGAGAGGTGTTTAGGGAATGAGCTTTAATTCCAGACTTCAGCATTAAACTCATTCCCATGGATCCTACAGGCCTCTTCTCCCTTTTCTCTGATGTAATTCTTGGGGCAAGTTCCAGACTGAGCCCAAGGCATGGGAGTCAAACACCTCTGACCTCAGAGATGGCACCTGGCTAAATGGCAGCCCAGTCGAGGGCAGAGCAAAGCAGCCCACTTACCCCAAATGAGATTCCATGCAGGGTCCCTGGGCCCTGGGCATGCTGGACTTTAAGGTGGGCTTCTGGGCTGGGCACGGTGGCTCATACCTGTAATCCTAGCACTTTGGGAGGCCAAGGTGGGAGAATCACAAAGTCAGGAGATCAAGACCATCCTGGTTAATACGGGAAAACCCTATCTCTACTAAAAATGAAAAGAAAAAAAAAAAAAAAAAAAAGGTAGCTGGGCATGGTGACACACGCCTGTAGTCCCAGCAACTTGGGAGGCTGAGACCAGAGAATTGCATAAACCCAGGAAGTGGAGGTTGCAGTGAGCCAAGATCACACCACTGCACTCCAGCCTGGGCAACAGAGCAAGATTCCGACTCAAAAAAAAAAAAAAAAGAAGAAGAAGGGCTTCTGATAAGACTTGTATTTAAGGGAGACCAAAAGTATTTCTGTAAAGTACAAAATTAGCCCTGCTTATAGAGTGGGGGCAGCTGTGACCTGCTGACTTCTCCTGGAAGCAGGCTAACTTGGGGTCCCAGGAATCTGAAGAAACGATGAAGCACAATTGTCTTCAACTGGGCATTAGATCACACTGGGCCATACCCTCAAATCATTCCCCCTCTCAAACTTCAGACATCAGTCAGCTCAGGAGCCATCCAACAAAACCAACTTCATATTTTAAACCAGCTTAATGCTACAAACTCTTTTTTTAAAAGTGCTGTCCAGCGGAGCCTCTGAGAAAACCTGGCTCCCTGAGGGGTGGGCAGTGGGCCTCTCAGACCAACCTGTGCCTCTCTCCAGGAGGCATGGCCTTGGTTCAGCCCAGAGCATCCACATCCCAAGGTGGGTGAGGGACAAGAGCAGCTCGGCTGCAGGGACAATGTGAGATGATTAAGCCTCTGGGGGAACAGGCTGAAGTCAAAAGACCCCCTCAGGACCCCAAAGAGGTGACATGAGTCCCTCTCCCCATTGGCTGCCAAGGCCTGGTCTGCCATGACAACCTCTCTGTCACCCCTTCAGCATACCAGGGAAAAAAGGGGTGAACAAGTCACCAAGCGCCAGTCACCTCTGTCCTTGGGGGTCTGAGTGAGCTCTAAGGGGTGGAGACGTCCTTAAAGAACCATCCCCTTCGATAAACCTGGTGGAAAAAATCCTCCCCGGGAAGCAGAGAATGATGCCAACGCTACATGGGGGGCGGACAGCATGCTTTTGGCAGTTTCTTCTTTTAATCTGACCCTTCTTTACGGTGGGGCTGCCTCTGCCTACCAAGTCCTTGGTGTGAAATGGCTCCTGGACCAGGGCAAGGCAGAATCTCTGAGGAAAGGTGCCTGCCACAGCCATGACAGCTGCCCCATGCTTCTGTCTGTTTTTCTCAGGAGCTTGTCTCTGCTGGACTATTTTTATACCCCAAGGGAAGGGAGAGGTAAGGACTTCCTCAGGAAAGGGGTCTCCTGAGCCGGCAGCTCCTGTTGCCACAGGAGCCTCAGTGCGACCTGCCCTGGGATGGCTCCCTGGAACCATCTCTGGGACAGAGGAGACCAGGAAGCCAAAGCCGGTGCCTCAGCTGGAGATGTGAGGCTGAGCAGGGGGCAGGGTGAAAGGGCAGGCAGGGGCTGTTTACTAGAATTAGGAGGCCTAAGTGCAATTATCGTCCTGGCAGACCGGACAGCCCCTCAGAGACCCAGCCCCGACCACTGTGGGGAAAGCAGGGACTTGGCCTGGGCCCCTCCCTTGGAAACCCAGACCTGCCCCAGAACACGGACAGCCATGGGCCTGATGGGCCTGTCTGCAGAGTTCACACTGAAACCCGGAATAACCTCCCTGCTAAAACTCAGGGGGACACACAAATACAACTCCGCCTGAAATAAATACAAAGGCATTAGGTGCTTCTTGGTTTGTCGAGGTAATTACCCCTCAAAAGGAGGTAGCAGGGCCTTTCCCCGGACTTGGCCATCTCACCTGCAGCCTTCTCGTGAGAAGTCAGAGGTCAGAAGACTGGATGGGCCTCCCCAGGCCCAGCTTCCACCGGGAAAGTGAGGACCCACCCTCTTATCCACACCGCGCCCGCACCACCCACATCTCCCTGCACAGCTTCTGCTGGCCAGGGCGGGGAAGGAGAGGAGACCCCATGGCCTGAGGGTAGCACCTAGTGTCCAATGTCCCTGTGCAGGCAGGGGACCTGTCAGCCTGTCTGCGAGGAGGTAGAGTCAGGGGCAGGCTGCTGGAGGCAGGCAGGGCCACTCAGTTAATCAACAGGTCCCCGAGGTCGTAGGAGTCGAAGAGGTCACTGATGCCCTCACCCGCCTCCAGGCCCCACAGGTAGTCATCCTGGTCCAAGGACGGTGAGAAGCTGATCAGAGGGGAGCTGCATGCCAGGGTTGGGGACAGGAATTGGTCCTCGGTCTGCTGCAGGAGTGGGTGCGGCAGCTCCAGCATGCTGTCAGTAGCCTCCAAGGGCACCAGGGATGGAGGCGGTGGGGCCTGCTGGGGGATCGGCGCTGGCGCTGGCACTGGAGACAAACAGACAAAGGTTATGCCTGGCTCTGGCGTCCAACCCTTAGCACACAAGAGCAGACTTCCGGTTCTCTGGATGACTGCACCCTTGTCCTCTCTCCTCAGCCTGGGGGGACTGTCCTGCTCTCAAAATCTACCTTCCAGCTTCTACACTCAGCCCTACCCCTTTTCGCTTTTTTTTTTTTTTTTTTGAGACAGGGACTCACTCTATCACCTAGGCTAGAGTACAGTGGTATGATCTTGGCTCACTGCAACCTCCGCATCCCAGAGTCAAGTGATTCTCCCACCTCAGCCTCCCAAGTAGCTGAGACTACAAGTGCGCATCACCATGCCCAGCTAATTTGCGTATTTTCAATAGAGATGGGTTTTCACCACGTTGGCCAGGTTGGTCTTGAACTCCTGACCTCAAGTGATCTGCCCACTTCGGCCTCCCAAAATGCTGGGATTACAGATGTGAACCACCGCACCTGCACTTCCCCGTTTCACTTTCAAGCCCCTTGGTCCTGAAATAATTTCTTTTTTCCTGTGTCATCTATTTCTCTCATTCTACCAGAACATTTCCATTCACACGTGGATATGCTCGAATAACTCATATCTTTAAAAAGCATTCTCCTCAAGGGACAGTCTTTTTAAGAAAGGATGAAGGGAAAACTGGATGTCCAATGGAAAAGAATGAAGTTGGATTCTTATCAATACCACATAAAAAAATTAATTTAAAATGGATCAAAGGGCCGGGCGCGGTGGCTCAAGCCTGTAATCCCAGCACTTTGGGAGGCCGAGGCGGGTGGATCACGAGGTCAAGAGATCGAGACCATCTTGGTCAACACGGTGAAACCCCGCCTCTACTAAAAATACAAAAAATTAGCTGGGCATGGTGGCACGTGCCTGTAATCCCAGCTATTCAGGAGGCTGAGGCAGGAGAATTGCCTGAACCCAGGAGGCGGAGGTTGCGGTGAGCCGAGATCGCGCCATTGCACTCCAGCCTGGGTAACAAGAGTGAAACTCCATCTCAAAAAAAAAAAAAAAAAAAAAAAATGGATCAAAGATCTCAAACTAAAACCTAAAACTATAAATCTCTTAGAAGAAAACAGAGCAAAAACTTCGTGACATTAGATTTGGCAGTTATTTCTTGGATATGACAACAAAGGCATAAGCAACAAAAGAAAAAATAGACACTGGACTTCCATGAAAGTTAAAAAATATATATGCATTAAAAACCACTGTCAGAGGCCAGGCATGGTATGGTGGCTCATGCTTGTAATTCCAGCACTTTGGGAGGCTAAGGCGGGCAGATCACGAGGTCAGGAAATCAAGACCATCCTGGCGAACCCAGTGAAACCCCATCTGTACTAAAAATAGAAAAAAATTAGCCGGGCGTGGTGACACACACCTGTAGTCCCAGCAACTTGGGAGGCTGAAGCAGGAGAATCACTTGAACCCAGGAGGCAGAGGTTGCAGTGAGCTGAGATTGCGCCGCTGCACTCCAGCCTGGGTGACAGAGTGAGAGTCCATCTCAATAAATAAATAGATAAATAAAAATAGTGACGATGGTAAATTTTTGTGTTGTTGACTTTCCTCCCTACCACACACTAGTATGCCTGACCTCATCACCCTCTCCAATTCCTGGCCCGTTTTTCCACTCGTTGATGGAGAACGAGTGTGTTCCAATTACAGAAGCAGGCTTCAAAATGTGGATAACGAGAAACTTCTGTGAATTAAAAGAACTTGTTTTAACTCAATCCAAAGAAACTAAGAACTTTGAAAAAAGATTTGACGAAATGTTAACAAGAATACACAATTTAGAGAGGAATATAAGTGAATTGATGGAGCTGAAAAACACAATACAAGAACTTCGTGAAGTATGCACAAGTTTTAACAGCCGAATTGATCAAGCAGAAGAAAAGATATCAGAGGTCGAAGACCAACTCAATGAAATAAAACAAGAAGACAAGATTAGAGAAAAAGGATAAAAAGGAATGAGCAAAGTCTCCAAGAAATATGGGACTATGTGAAAAGACCTAATCTACGCTTGATAGGTGTGCCCGAATGTGACGAAGAGAATGAATCCAAGCTGGAAAATACGCTTCAGGACATTATTCAGGAAAATTTTCCCAACCTAGTAAGGCAGGCTAATATTCAACTCCAGGTAATACAGAGAACACCACAGAGATATTCCTCAAGAAGAGCAACTCCAAGGCACATAATCGTCAGATTCACCAGGGTTGAAATGAAGGAGAAAATACTAAGCAGCCAGAGAGAAAGGTCGGGTTACCCACAAAGGGAAGCCTATCAGACTCCCAGCAGATCTCTCGGCGGAAACCCTACAAGCCAGAAGAGAGTGGGGACCAATATTCAACATCCTTAAAGAAAAGAACTTTCAACCCAGAATTTCACATCCAGCCAAACTAAGCTTCACAAGTGAAGGAAAAATAAAGTTTTTTGTGAATAAGCAAGCACTCAGAGATTTCATCACCACCAGGCCTGCTTTACAAGAGCTTCTGAAAGAACCATTACACATAGAAAGGAACAAACAGTAACAGCCTTTCTAAAAAATACCAAAAAGAGGATCAATATAATGAAGAATTTACATCAACTAATGGGCAAAATAGCCAGCTAATATTAAATGGCAGTATTAAACTCACATATATTATTATTAATTCTAAATTTAAGTTGACTAAATCCCCCAATCCAAAGACAGACAGGCAATTTGAATAAAAAACTAAAACCCATCAGTATGCTGCATCCAGACCCATCTCACATTCAAGGATACACAAAGACTCCAAACAAGGGATGGAGAAGGATTTATCAACCAAACAGAGAGCAAAAATAAATAAATAAAAAGCAGAAGTTACAATTAAGCAAAAAAGATCAAAAGAAGCAAAGAAGGACATTATATAATGATAAAAGGATCAATGCAACAACAAGAAGAGCTAAAGATCCTAAATATATACGCACCCAATACAGGAATACGCAGACATACAAGACTTATAAAGGGACTTAGACTCCCACATAATAGTGGGAGACTTCGACATTAATATTAGACAGATCAATGAGACAGAAAATTAACAACGATATCCAGGACTTGAACTCAGATCTGGAACAAGTAAATGTAATTAACATTTATAGAACTCTCCACTTTAAATATACAAAATATACACTCTTATCAGTGCCACATCATATCAACTTAGAAGTTTAAACGAAACGTTGGTTGGCTCCTTGTTTGTTATTCTCTTCCCTCATTTTCTTTTATTTCTCCATTATTAAGGACAATTATAGGCATACCCATATTTAGATTGCATTCTAGCCCGGGCAGTAAGGCAATACCCCCATCCTCTCTCCCTCTTCCTCTTTCTCTTTCTTCCTCTTCTTTATTCTTTTTCTTATTAAAATAAATAAATAAATAAATAAAAAATAATAAAATAAAAATAAAAATAAAAATTGCTCCCATTTACCAAGGCTAATGGGGGAGGTGGCGGCACTGCCCTTGAGGCGAGGCGTTGTTCAGCCTCCTTGGACACTCAAAGGGCCCTGAGGGAGTCCGTGCTGCTATCCCTATTTACAGATGAGAAAACTGGGGCTCAAAGAAATCAATTAAACGTATATGAATTTAAAAAAAAAAAAAATCTGGCCGGGCGCAGTGGCTCACGCCTGTAATCCCAGCACTTTGGAAGGCCAAGGTGGGCGGATCACAAGGTCAAGAGATCAAGACCATCCTGGCCAACACAATGAAACCCCATCTCTACTAAAATACAAAAATTAGCTGGGTGTTATGGCATGTACCTGCAGTCCCAGCTACTCGAGAGGCTGAGGCAGAATTGCTTGAACCCAGGAGGCGGAGGTTTCAGTGAGCCAAGATCATGCCACTGCACTCCAGCCTGGCACCTGGCGAAAGAGTGAGACTGTGTCTCAAAAATAAATAAATAAATAAATAATATCTAAGGTTTATTTGGCACACTGCTGATGTTACAGTCAGAAGCTCGCTTGGGAGCGAGGAGCACGTGGGCTCAGACTCCAGCGCCTCTTCTCACCAGCCATGGAACCTCAGAACTCTGTTTCCTCATGTGGAAAAACAGGGACTCGCCTCAGTGAGTACTGGAAGCAGTAACTGATAAAACACATGTGAAAATCTCTACAAGTCAGACCTTGCTGATTCCTGCTATTGACCACGCCTAGAAATAGAATTGCCTTTTGGAATATCTGTCTTTCCACTGCACTCTGAATGGCTCTTACTGTTTTTTCTGTCTCTAAAACAGCACCAGGCCCGCCTCAGTAGATGCTCTTCACACAAGCTTTTTTTTTTTTTGATACGGAGTCTCGCTCTGTCACCAGGCTGGAGTGCAATGGTGTGATCTCAGCTCACTGCAGCCTCTGCTTCCCAGGTTCAAGTACTTGATTGTTGTGCCTCAGCCTTCTGAGTAACTGGGATTACAGGCATGTGCCATCACGCCTGGCTAATTTTTGTATTTGTAGTAGAGACGGTGTTTCATCATGTTGGTCAGGCTGGTCTGGAACTTCTGGCCTCAAGTGATCTGCCTGCCTCAGCCTCCACAAGTGCTGGGATTACAGGTGTAAGCCACCATGCCTGGCCACATAAGCATTTTTTTAAAAAATCACATTGGGCGAGGTATAGAGGCTCATGCCTGTGATCTCAGCACTTCGGGAGGCCTAGGCAGATGAATCATGAGGTCAAGAGATTGAGATCGTCTTGGCCAACATGGTGAAACCCCATCTCTACTAAAAATACAAAAATTAGCTGGGTGTGGTGGTGTGTGCCTGTAGTCCCAGCTACTAGGGAAGCTGAGGCAAGAGAATTGCTTGAACCCGGGAGGTGGAGGTTACAGTGAGGCAAGGTTGCAGATTGTGCCACTGCACTCTGGCCTGGCGACAGAGCAAGACTCCGTCTCAAAAAGAAAAAAAAAAAAAAGAATCACATTCATGCATGTCATCTCCTGTAACCCACTCAATATTCATGAGGAAATTTCAAGTGTCCCTATTTAAGAGGTGTGGGAACTGAGGCTTGGAGGGGTTAAAGTGACTCGCTCACAGTCACGATGTCGCTAAGAGGTGAAATACAGGCTCCCCATTTCAAATGCTGTGCTATCAGCTACATTTAGGTTTATCTCAGATTGTTCAGAGCCTGGAGAGATGTCAGAGGTGATGCTGTTCAAACCCCTTCCATTACAGATGAGGGATACTGAGGCTGAGGAGAACAGTTCCTCTGGTAATGAGGAACCAGGGCCAGGACTCAGGTCCCACGACTGCAGTAGCTTCTTCTTTTACATGGCCTCTGGCACTCAGATCTCAAAATGACACTACTTTAGGACACAGCATGGAACGTGTGTGTGTGTGTGTGTGTGTGTGTGTGTGTGTGCACGCACACCTTCAGGAAAACTTCCTCTTCTTTCCGTCAGCAGGGATAACACTATGAGGCCATGTGACAAGGGTTGGGGTGACAGCCATGAAGCCATGACATGAGAGCTGGCTTTTGAGCTGACCTCACCACTGATGGCTCAGTAAGCCTCTACTCCTCTCTGGGCCTCAGCATCTTGATTTGTAAAACTCAGGTAAAAACTTCACATCTAGCCCAGCGCAGTGGCTCATGCCTATAATCCCAGCACTTTGGGAAGCTGAGGCAGGTGGATCACCTGAGGTCAGGAGTTCAAGACCAGCTTGCCCAACATGGTGAAACCCTGTCTCTACTAAAAATACAAAAATTAGCCAGGCATGGTGGCACGCGCCTGTACTCCCAGCTCTCGGGAGGCTGAGGCAGGAGAATCTCTTGAACCTGGGAAGCAGACGTTACAGTGAGCCGAGATTATGCCACTGTACTCCAGCCTGGGTGACAGAGAGAGACTCCGTCTCAAAAGAAAAAAAACAACTTCACGCCCTTGTTTATACTCTGGGATCTGCCACCTCCACCCAAGGTCTCAGAGGACAACCAAAGTGAAGGTGGTTCTAGCTTCAGAGGGCTATGTGCATGCTGACAGCTGAGTGAGGAGGCACAGCAGGAGGAGGATGAACCAGAGGGTGGGGCATAAGTCTGGAATGGAAGATAGGCACTGGGGAGGTGCCCTGAGGGACAGATGGCTGGCACAAGGAGAAGCTCTGGTCTGGTCCCTGATGAGACCTGACAGACACAGAGAGATCACTAGAGAAGAGCTGGGAGGCTGGGATCTGGTCCCAGCAATGCCATCAACTTGCTGTGTGACCCTAGGAAAGCCACTTGCCCTCTCTGGGTCTCTGTTCATTCACGTGTAAAATCCCAGCACTTTGGGAGGCCGAGGCGGGTGGATCACAAGGTCGAGAGATCGAGACCAACCTGGTCAACATGGTGAAACCCCGTCTCTACTAAAAATACAAAGAAAATTAGCTGGGCATGGTGACGCGTGCCTGTAATCCCAGCTACTCAGGAGGCTGAGGCAGGAGAATTGCCTGAACCCAGGAGGCAGAGGTTGCAGTGAGCCGAGATCGCGCCATTGCACTCCAGCCTGGGTAACAAGAGTGAAACTCCGTCTCAAAAAAAAAAAGAGGGTCGAGTAATATGGGGACAGCAAACTTCTATAAAGAGCTGGAGCCTGTAATTCCAGCACTCTGGGAGGCTGAGGCACATGGATCACCTGAGATCAGGAGTTTGAGACCAGGCTGGCCAACATGGCGAAATCCTGTCTCTACTAAAAATTAAAAAGAAAAAAAATTGGCCAGGCATGGTGGCTCATGCCTGTAATCCCAGCACTTTGGGAAGCCGAGGTGGGCGGATCATGAGGTTAAGAGATCGAGACCATCCTGGCCAACATGGTGGAACCCCGTCTCTACTAAAAATACAAAAATTAGCTGCATGTGGTGGCATGCACCTGTCCCAGCTACTCAGGAGGCTGAAGCAGAAGAATCGCTTGAACCCAGGAGGTAGAAGTTGCAGTGAGCTGAGATCGCACTACTGCACTCCAGCCTGGAGACAGAGCGAGACTTCATCTCAAAAAAAAAAAAAATTGCCGGGCGCGGTGGCTCAAGCCTGTAATCCCAGCACTTTGGGAGGCCGAGGCGGGTGGATCACGAGGTCGAGAGATCAAGACCAACCTGGTCAACATGGTGAAACCCCGTCTCTACTAAAAATACAAAAAATTAGCTGGGCGTGGTGGTGCGTGCCTGTAATCCCAGCTACTCAGGAGGCTGAGGCAGGAGAATTGCCTGAACCCAGGAGGCGGAGGTTGCGGTGAGCCGAGATCGCGCCATTGCACTCCAGCCTGGGTAACAAGAGTGAAACTCCGTCTCAAAAAAAAAAAAAAAAAAAAAAAAAATTAGCTGGACATGGTAGTGGGCACCTGTAATCCCAGCTCCTTGGGAGGCTGAGGCAGGAGAATTGCTTGAACTCGGGAGGCGGAGGTTGTAGTAAGCCAAGATTGCTGCCATTGCACTCAGCCTGGGTAACAGAGTAAGAGTCTGTCTCAAAAAAAAAAAAAGAGCTGGAAAGTATATGAGGCTTTGCGGGACACTTGCGGTCTCTGTCACACAGTTGCCTTCTTTTACTTTCTCCCACAACTCTTTAAAAATGTAAAACCATTCTTAGCTCATAGGTCATTAAGAGCAGGTCAGATTTGACCAGCAGGCAAGTTTATTAACCTCTGAGTTAGAGAAATGGATACAACCAGTGTACTGCAGAATCCCTCCAGGAAGCCTCTTCCACCAGCCCAGCTCCAGCTGTACCTTTGTTTAACCACTAGGGTTCTACTTAAAAGAATTCTGCTGCTAAGAAGACAAAAAGTGGCCGGGCGCGGTGGCTCACGCCTGTAATCCCAGCACTTTGGGAGGCCGAGGCGGGTGGATCACGAGGTCAAGAGATTGAGACCTGTAATCCCAGCACTTTGGAAGGCCGAGGCGGGTGGATCACGAGGTCAAGAGATCGAGACCATCCTGGTCAACATGGTGAAACCCCGTCTCTACTAAAAATACAAAAAAAATTAGCTGGGCATGGTGGTGCGTGCCTGTAATCCCAGCTACTCAGGAGGCTGAGGCAGGAGAATTGCCTGAACCCAGGAGGCGGAGGTTGCGGTGAGCCAAGATCGCGCCATTGCACTCCAGCCTGGGCAACAAGAGCGAAACTCCGTCTCAAAAAAAAAAAAAAAGAGAGATCGAGACCATCCTGGTCAACATCATGAAACCCCGTCTCTACTAAAAATACAAAAAATTAGGCCGGGCGCTGTGGCTCAAGCCTGTAATCCCAGCACTTTGGGAGGCCGAGGCGGGTGGATCGCGAGGTCAAGAGATCGAGACCATCCTGGTCAACATGGTGAAACCCCGTCTCTACTAAAAATACAAAAAACTAGCTGGGCGTGGTGGCGCGTGCCTGTAATCCCAGCTACTCAGGAGGCTGAGGCAGGAGAATTGCCTGAACCCAGGAGGCGGAGGTTGCGGTGAGCCAAGATCGCGCCATTGCACTCCAGCCTGGGTAACAAGAGCGAAAACTCCGTCTCAAAAACAAAAACAAAAACAAAAACAATTAGCTGGGCACGGTGGCGCTTGCCTGTAATCCCAGCTGCTCAGGAGGCTGAGGCAGGAGAACTGCCTGAACCCAGGAGGCGGAGGTTGCGGTGAGCCGAGATCGCGCCATTGCACTCCAGCCTGGGTAACAAGAGCGAAACTCCGCCTCAAAAAAAAAAAAAAAAAGACAAAAAGTGGAACACTGGCCTACACAGTCTTGAAGAATCCTATCAGTCTAACTGGATGCGTGATCCCAAGGAAAGGCAAAAACTGTTCTGGAGGAGGAGACTTTACAGGCTTCCATTTGTCCTCCTTTCAGACTCCTACCCTCTTTGGGAAGCTCTCAGGAACTCTGCTCCCTGGCAACTTCCCTGTACTACCTTCCATCAGCAGTAGCCAGCTGTTAGCCATACTGTCGACCTCCCAGCCAGAAGCCCCTTCTTTGATTTGTTCTGTGCCTTGTGGAGAGAACACTGGGCTGGGAGTGCATAGACCAAGGTTCAAGACACAGCTCTGCTGCCTCCCAGCTGGGAGACCTTGGGTAAGTCACAGCACCTCTATGCCTTCTTGCTTTTTAAAGGGCAAATTTTATTTTATTATTTTATTTTATTTTTGTTAGAGATGGAGTCTCAGTATGTTGTCCAGGCTAGTCTTGAACTCCTGGGCTCAAGTGATCCTCCCACCTCAGCTTCCCAGAGTGCTGGGATTATAGGTGGGAACCACTGTGCCCAGCCTATTTTTTTTTTAATTTTATTCTTATTTTTATTTTTGAGACAGGGTCTCCCTCTGTCGCCCAGGCTGTAGTGCAGTCACATGATCAGAGCGCACTGCAGCCTTAACCTCCATGGCTCAAGTGATCCTCCCATCTCAGCTCCCCGAATAGCTGGACTACAGGCACATGCCACCACACCTGGCTAATTTAAGATTTCTTTTATAGAGACAGGGTCTTTCCTATGTTGCCCAGGCTGCTCTTGAACTCCTGGCCTCAAATGATTCTCCTGCCCCAGCCTCCCAGAGTGCTGGGATTATAGGTGTGAGCTACCACACCTGACCATATTAACTTATTAATTCTCACAACAACCTAAGAGTTAGACAGTATTAATTACTATGACCAATTCACAGATGAGAAAAATTGAGGCCAAGAGAGGTTAAGTAACTTGCCCAAGGTCCCATAGCTGGTAAGTGGATGGGCTGGGATTCAAATCCAGGCCTTCTTAGCGAGGTTTTATAAAGCATTAAGTACAATGCACACATGTGGGGGAGAATGACTGCATCCTCAGCTGCTGGATAAAACAGGAAGTTTTCAACAAACATTGACGTAGAAGAGAAAACTAAGGTTGGTCGCTCCCCCCACCTCCTGTCCCTCTGGACGAGGGTCCTACCTGAGGATGCTGTGGGCTCCATGATGCTAGGGTCGGTGCTGCTGCTGGGCTGGGCAGAGTCAGGGCTGGGGCTGAGGGTAGAGGTAGAAGGCAGGGGCTCCTCAGAAGGACTGTCTGGCTCCTGCACCTCCTCTGGACACAGGTAGACTTCGATGGGCCCTTGGGTGCTCTTGAGATATATCTGCAGATTGTCCTGGAGGAAGAAGAAAAGCCAGGTCATGGCTCTGGGAAACCGGACGCTTACCTGTGGGTCAGTGTGTATGGACGGACACACATGGCTGCTGCTGCCCATGGGAGCAAGCTCAACCCCTGGGCTGGCACTGAGAACAGCTCCATCTGGCCTAGGGTGGACTTCGCTGTTTCTGCTGTCTTGCCCCAAAGCCCACTACTTTTAGGGGGGAACACCTTGATTTTCCTGTGGGAAATCACTCTTCTCCCACTCTCAGGTCATGTAGTTTTGGGGCAGAGGGGCAGCACCCTTCCCCAACCCCAGTGGGTGAGCTTGTGACACAGCCAGGAAATTTAGTGTGACATGATCGGTTCAGGGTGGCACATGGCTCGGCTCCTCAGGTGGATCCAACCAGCACTAGGCACAAGACTTTTGCTGGACTTGTGGGAAATGGAAGGCCTCTTCCCACTGGGGTTGCTGAGCTGGTATCCCATCACTTTGGAGGCCGAGGCAGGTGGATCACCTGAGGTTAGTTCAAGATCAGCCTGGCCAACGTGGTAAAACCCTATCTCCACTAAATACAAAAAGTAGCTGGGCGTGAAGGCCGCGTGCAGTGGCTCACTCCTGTAATCCTAGCACTTCAGGAGGCCAAGGCGGGTGGATTACCTGAAGTCATGAGTTCAAGACCAGCCTGACCAACATGGTGAAACCCCATGTCTACTAAAAACACAAAAATTAGCCAGGTGTGGTAGCAGGCGCCTGTAATCCCAGCTACTCTGGAGGCTGAGTCAGAAGAGTTGCTTGAACCCAGGAGGCAGAGGTTGCAGTGAGCCAAGATCGTGCCATTGCACTCTGGGCAACAGAGCGAGACTCCATCTCGAGGAGACTATCTCTGCCACCACAAGGAAAGAGCCCACCTGGGAATGGAGTCAGCACAGAGAAAAGTAGAGAGATGAAAAGCATGAGACAGACCTGAAGTCATAGTTTGAGCATCTACATCCAGCCTTGCCTGCCATCTCTGAATCTACCCCAGAACTTGTCACTTGGTTCCCACCACCCCAACCCACACCTCCGGCTTAAGCCAGTTGGACTTGACTTTCTGTTACGTATAACCAAGAGTCCTGATATTTGGCCTTCCCACCCTGCCTCTTCCCTATCACATAACCGCAACTTAAGCCACAACTGATGACATGCATGCCATCCTGGCACACGTCCGAGTCTCCATGCCTGTGCTCACAGAACTGCACCTAACAAAAACCCCATTCATAGGTTGGGCGCGGTGGCTCACGCCTGTAATCCCAGCACTTTGGGAGGTCGAAGTGGATGGATCGTGAGGTCAGGAATTCGAGACCAACCTGACCAACACAGTGAAACCCTGGCTCAACTAAAAATACGAAAATTTGCTGGGCGTGATGGTGTGGACCTGTAACCCCAGCTACTCAGGAGGCTGAGGCAAGAGAATCACTTAAGCATGGGAGGCAGAGGTTACAGTGAGCCTAGATCACGCCATTGCACTCCAGCCTGGGCAACAGAGTGAGACTCCATCTCAAAAACAAACAAAACCCTATTCATTCTTTTTTTTTTTTTTCGAGACAGAGTCTTGCTCTGTCACCAGGCACCAGGCTGGAGTGCAGTGGCACCATCTCGGTCACTGGAACCTCCGTCTCCTGGGTTCAAGCAATTCTCCTGCCTCAGCCTCCCGAGTAGCTGGGACTACAGGCACACGCCACCACACCCAGCTAATTTTTGTATTTTTAGTAGAGACAGGGTTTCACCATGTTGGCCAGGATGGTCTCGATCTTTTGACCTCCTGATCCGCCCACCTTGGCTTCCCAAAGTGCTGGGATTACAGGCGTGAGCCAACACACCCAACCCAAAACCCTATTCATTCTTTAAGATCTAGTTTAACTATCTCCATCTAGGATGCCCCTCTACCCTTTCTCTATGCTCCCAAAGCAACATCTTCAGTCTATAAATTGACCACATCTTTTTCCCACTAAGTCCTGAACTTCTCCAGGGGAGGAACCGGAACTTAATCATCTCCACAGCTCCAGTTCTTCCTTTAAACAAATTATTTCTTGAGCCCTTATCATATGCCAGACTCTGGGCAGGGGATACAAGGTAAGCAGAACTTTCTCTTGCGAAGCTTACACTCTAATAGATGAAGCAGAATGCAATTGTGTTATCATGCCAAATACACCTCAGTAAATGGAGATTAAAGGCAGTGTAAAAGCACAGGTGGTTATGAAGTCTGCAGGTAATCAGAGAAGGCTTCCTTGAGAAAGTGACATTTGAATTGAGACCTGTAGGATGAATAGCAATAAACCAGGCATAAAGAGAAGAGCATTTCAGTTGAGGAAACAGCATGTATGAAGGTCTTGCACGACTAGGTGCGGTGGTTCACACCTGTAATTCCAGCACTTTGGGAGGCCAAGATGGGCAAATCACGTCTGTGCCGGAGTTTGAGACCAGCCGAGACAACATGGCAAAACCTCATCTCTACAAAAAATACAAAAAATTAGCTATGCATGGTGGCACACACCTGTAGTCCCAGCTAATCAGGAGGGTGAGGTGGGAGGATGGCCTGAGCCCAGGAGGCAGAGGTTGCAGTGAGCTGAGATCATGCCATTGCACTCCAGCCTGGGAGACAGAGCAAGACCCTGTCTTAAAAAAAAAAAAACCCGGGTGCAGTGGCTCATGCCTGCAATCCCAACACTCTGGAAGGCCAAGGTGAGTGGATCATGAGATCAGGAGTTCAAGACCAGACTAACCAACATGGTGAAACGTGTCTCTACTTAAAATTCAAAAATTAGCCAGGTGTGGTGGTATACGCCTGTAATCCCAGCTCTCAGGAGGCTGAGGCAGGAGAATCACTTGAACCTAGGAGGCGGAGGTTGCAGTGAGCTGAGATCACGCCATTGCATTCCAGTCTGGGCAAAAGAATGAGACTCCATCTCAAAAAATAAATAAAATGTAACAGAAGATCTCACACTACGAATGAGCTTAGTGCAATGGAGAAACTGCAGACAGATCAGTGTGGCCAAAACAAAGATAGATGAGACAACAGGGAGAATGAGGTTGGCAAGGTCAGCTGGGGTCAGAGCACCGAGGCCTCATAGGCAGTGCTAGGAATTTTGGTCTTCAACCTGGGAAAGCATGGTCAGCATGAAAGCATTGTCATGAGTACTGACATCATCATGTGTAGGCATGAGTGTGCATGTACACAGGAAGTCAGGGCTGGTGGGATGCAGAAAGAAACTAGGGACAGGCCACTACTCAGTCTCCCTTGCCCTCTCCAGCTTCTGCCATTTCTGCCCAAGCTTGAAGGCCACCAATATTGCCGTGGACACCAGAATGGGCCTGAGGAGCATGGGGCTAGGCAGTGCCAGGGACAGAGTCTGCAAAGCTGCCCGGAACCTGCCCTGGCAGGGCCCCTGACACTGCTCTTCACCAAATGCCTCCCCTCTCACCTCATTCCTGTCGGGCACTTCCAGTCTCGTCTGCGGAGGGGCCTTGACGGCAATCACTGTCTGCTCCTTAAAGTTGCTGACAGCACGGATATCCTGGTAAGTCACATAGGCCAGCGTAGGGCAGGAGGGTCAAGAAAAGTGACTGTCTGGTCAAAATTCAAACCCCAAGCCTGCCAGGAAACACCTTCATCATCCACTTCTCCTAAGCCTCTGAACATTACTTTCTCACTCCTTGTACAGCCTAGAAATAACTACAATCTGTAATCTGTCAATATCATAAGCTACCTTGGATCCCTTTAGAAAGCAAATGGGGATATAAATCATAAAAAAAAATGTTGCCTTATATCAGCTTTTTATGTAAAGGCTTGATCTCTCAAACTAGATCATTAACTCTGAGAAGGGAGGAAGACATGTTTTGTTTCTTTATATTTCCCGCAATGCCTAGCATCCTTCCAAAAATACAAGGTCAGATCCAAAACCAGTTAGAAATGAAATGATTTTGGAAAATGTATGAAAGACCCTGAGGTCCATGCTCTTTGACCTCATCATTTCAATTCTAGGAATCTGACCTAAAAAAACAAGTAAAATATGGGAAAACATTCTATAAATATTCTGCCAAGCGCAGTGCCTCATGCCTGTAATCCCAGCACGTTGGGAGGCTAGGCAGGTGGATCACTTGAGGTCAGGAGTTCAAGACCAGCCTGGTCAATGTGGTGAAACCCCATCTCCACTAAAAATACAAAAAGTACCTGGGCATGAAGGCCAAGTGTAGTGGCTCAGTCCTGTAATGCCAGAACTTCAGGAGGCTGAGGCGGGTGGATTACCTGAGGATATGAGTTCAAGACCAGTCTGACCAACATAGTGAAACCTCATCTCTATGTAAAATACAAAAATCAGCCAGGCGTGGTTGCAGGTACCTGTAATCTTAGCTACTTGGGAGGCTGAGGCAGGAGAATCACTTGAACCCAGGAGGTAGAAGATGCAGTGAGCCGAGATTATGCCACTGCATTCCATCCTGGGCAACAGAGTACAACTCCATCTCAAAAAAAAAAAAGGCCAGGTGCAGTGGCTCACACCTGTAATCCCAGCACTTTGGGAGGCCAAGGTGAGCAGATCACCTAAGGTCGGGAGTTCAGGCCCAGCCTGATCAACATGGAGAAATCCCATCTCTACTAAAAATACAAAATTAGCTGAGCATGGTGGCGAATGCCTGTAATCTCAGCTACTTGGGAGGCTGAAGCAGGAGAATTGCTTGAACCAGGGACGCGGAGGTTGCGGTCAGCCAAGATCACACCATAGCACTCCAGCCTGGACAGCAACAGTGAAACTCCATCTCAAAAAAACAAAAAACAAAAAACAAAAAACTATGTTCAGCAGGCACATGACTACATTACAACTATATTTAAATAACACACATTCTGTGTGCAGTTAAGGAACAATGGCTATGTTAAGGTGGCAGCTCATCATTTCTTTTCATTTTCCAGATTTAAAAAAATGTACTTGGCTTATTTCAATAATGAAAACATACCTTTAATATACTTGAGGCCAGGCATAGTGACTCATGCCTGTAATCTCAGCACTTTGGGAAGCTGAGGTGGGAGGACTGATTGAAGCCAAGAGTTAGAGACCAGCCTGGGCAGCAAAGCAAGACACTGTCTATACAAAAAATAAAAACTTAGCCAGGCATGGTGGCACACACTGCAGTTCTAGCTATTCGGGAGGCTATGATGGGAGGATCACTTGAACCCAGAAGTGTGAGGCTGTAGTGAGCTATGATCATGCGATTGTACTACAGCCTGAATGACAGAGTGAGCCCTTGCCTCTAAAAAAATAAATAAATAATTTTTAAAATAGACTTGAGAGGAAAAGCCCCCCAGGAAGGAAGAAACAGATGCTAGACCCTCATGGTAAGTTAATCCCTCTATGCGAGTACTGAATCAACTCAGGATAGATATAAACATGCAACAGGCTCCTGCTCCCTGACATCTTTCCCACAACCAAGGAGGATATCTCTTGTTGGCCTTGTCCTCAGTCAGGTGCTTAAAGCTCAGAGAGCAGCTCTGGATGAGCTGGTCCAGGACCTGCTCCCTGTTCATCAGCTCCTTCAGCTCCTGCCCCAGCTGTTGCTGCTTCCCAGGCCGGGTGGGGTCTTCAAACATTCCCCTGCCTCTGCAAACAGAGCAGCCCCCCGTGTCAGTCTCAGTTCACATCCAGAGACCCCAATCCCAGGGCTGCTGTGCAGAGATGCATGGGTGGTGTGGGTGAAACTCCAGAATAAGGCCATTCAAATAGTCTATGAGGGTGCTCCCCTGGGCTGTACAAATCGGTGGTCATGCCTGACTCTCAGGGAGCTACCAGGGATTGGAACTAGGGGCTTGGGGGTTGGGCTTGGGAGAAGAAACAAGTCAAGGCCTAAACTCCACTTTTGGGGGGGGCTCTGTTCATCCCTATGCCCCAACCTGCTCCAAATGGTAGGGAACTGTAGTAGCCTCAGTCCTGACTCCCCCGCCTGGGTCTTCTTAAGGTTTATGCCAGGGGCTGTAGGTTAGCTCTTTAAACCCTGTAGAAGTGGAGAAAGGAGGCTGGAGTACACCTAGCTCAGATCTGGAAGGAGTCTGGGATGCCCCTACTCAGCTCCCAGGGGTCTGCCCTAAGCTAGAAGTGGATATTGGGATCTCTGACTCAAGAGGAAGAACCTGGAGTCCCCTTTGGCCTTTACAGAAGTCATTCTCCATTCTGCCCACATCACGTTCTCCTATTACTTCAGCAGGTACACGGGGCTCTTCCCCACCATACATTGTATGGTCCCCACCATACACTGGCTCTACCTCCAGCAATAAGCCTATTGGATGTTGCTCTTGGTTCACCTAAGCCCTTGTGCCCATTGGATGTTGCTCTCCGCCCTACCCCTGCCACTCACACCCAGTGGCTATTGCCTCTGGCTCCGCCCACAGCCCAAGTACCCATTGGAGGGTACCATTGGACGGGCACTCACACCCACTGGATGTTGTTCTTGGCCTTCTTGCGGATGAGCTGGATGCCCTCTAGCACGTTGGTGATGTCATAGATGCGCCGCTTCTGCACGTCCAGCACCTCAGCGGCCCAGTTCAGGTCCAGGACCCCATCCTCCGACTCGCTCAGAAGGTAAATGAACTTCTTGGTGAGCAGCCCCAGCGAGGTGTCATATCGAGTCTTCTCCCCGGGAGATTTGGGGGCTGAGGAAGAAAGGGATCCAGTCACAGCTCAGGGAGTGCCATCCCAGGACCCTCGTCCATGGACCTAGGCTCATAAAGTACCATCTTTCACCACCCACTTTCCAGTTTACAAAGCATTGTGAGGCAGGGCACCCATTACCACCACTGTCCAGACAGAGAACCTAATACCTAAGAGAGAAGGTGACTTGCTTAAGGTCTCAAAGCCAGTGGGTATGTTGGAAGCCAAGTGTCCTGACTCCTGGTTCAAGGCACGTTTCCACCACAGCTTAGGGACGCCATACCACCACCCACAACTACTGTCACTGCTCTAAGTGCTTTCCACGTACTAACACATTTAAGCCTTACAACACCATATAAGGTTGCTGTACAATCATCCCCATTTTACTGATGAGAATATTGAGGCGGCCGGATGCGGTGGCTCACGCCTGTAATCCCAGCACTTCGGGAAGCCAAGGCAGGTGGATCACAAGGTCAAGAAATCGAGACCATTCTGGCCAACATGGTGAAACCCTGTTTCTACTAAAAATACAAAAATTAGCTGGTTGTGGTGGGACTCGCCTGCGGTCCCAGCTACTTAGGAGGCTGAGGCAGAAGAATCACTTGAACCCAGGAGGCGGAGGTTGCAGTGAGCCAAGATTGCACCACTGCAGTCCAGCCTGGCGACAAGACTCCATCTCAAAAAAAAAAAAAAAAAAAAAAAAAAGGAAAAAATCGATCTGAGCTGCAGTAGCATCATGGGGGAAAAAAAAAAAGAATATTGAGGCACAATTTAAGAATTTGCTCAGCTCACTCAGCTAGAAAGTGGCAAAGCTGGAATTCAAATCCAGACAATCTGGCTCCAGAGTTTTCCTTCTTAACCATTAACCTATCCTGCCACTTAAATGTCAGGAGTTTGGAATTAGAATAGGATAGGAATGATAAGCCTGGATTTAAGAACATTTTTATAGACACACACTGGCTGTTCCTTCCACGTGAATCCCAATGATTAACTGAGAAGAATCGGTGCTATAGCATCAAGTGGGGGAGGTTCATGAAAAAGGTCTCTTTCTCAATGAGGTTGATGTTGCAAGACCACATCTCAGCTGCAGCATCTGAAACCGAGAGGGGACTTTTGTAATCAAGTGACTTCCAAGTCATATAGCAAGTTAGTGGCCAATCTAGTAATTCTGGAACCTGAGTTTTGGAGAGTCTTAGGTTCCTCTGGAAGAGGACTAGTTATCATGAGTCTTAGGATCCTTCAGGACAGTGCTTTGGGCAGCCTTGACCAGTCAGTCAATGCAAACTTCCTTGCCATTCCTGATCTAGCTGTGCTTCCTTTTACACAAGACAACTAAGGTTTACAGGAATGACCTGTAAAACTAGTGTTCCTCCCAAACACAGTTGCTTAAACTCCCACTATAACCAGGAATTTTTTTTTTTTTTTTTTTTTTTTTTAAGAGATGGAGTCTCACTGTCTCCCAGACTGGAGTGCAGTGGCATGATCTCAGCTCATGGCAACTTCTGCCTCCCGGGTTCCAGTGATTCTCCTGCCTCAGCCTCCCAAGTAGCTAGGATTACAGGCGCTCACCACCACGCCCAGCTAGTTTTTGTATCTTTAGTATAGACAGTGTTTTGGCATGTTGGCCAGGCTGGTCTTGAACTCCTGACCTCAGGTGATCTGCCCACCTCGGCCTCCCAAAGTGGTGGGATTATAGGTGTGAACCACCGTGCCTGGCTTCTCCAGGATATTGACTGAAAATATCAAGAGGCAGCAACCCCCTCCAACTTAGCTTTAGGAAGGCACCACCTGGGCAACCTCTGGATCTGAAAAACCCGAGGTGGCACAGACTGGGTCAATCTGTACTTCCCTTCCCTTTGAATCACTTATTTAGCTCCTTGTCTGCACGTGGGAGAAAGACCTGGTTAGCCCCTGCTCCTCTGAGCTGGATTCTCTTAGAAAAGTTTACATTGACCTAAATATGAAAACTTTTTTTTTTTTGAGACGGAGTTTCGCTCTTATCACCCAGGCTGGAGTGCAATGGCGCGATCTCGGCTCACCGCAACCTCCGCCTCCTGGATTCAGGCAATTCTCCTGCCTCAGCCTCCTGAGTAGCTGGGATTACAGGCACGTGCCACCATGCCCAGCTAATGTTTTGTATTTTTAGTAGAGACGGGGTTTCACCATGTTGACCAGGATGGTCTCGATCTCTTGACCTCGTGATCCACCCGCCTCGGCCTCCCAAAGTGCTGGGATTACAGGTGTGAGCCACCGCGCCCGGCCTGAAAACTTTTTAAAAATAATAAATTCCCAAATAAAACACTGGTCATTGCATTTAGATCATGAGAGCAGTATATGGCATGGTAGAAGTGGTGCAAGACTGGCTAGTCATGGTGGCTGATGCCTGTAATCCCAGCACTTTGGGAGATTGAGGTGGGTGGATCACTTGAGGTCAGGAGTTCAAGACCAGCCTGGTCAATATGGTGAAACCACATCTCTACTAAAAATACAAAAATTAGTCAGGTATGGTGGCATGCCCCTGTAATCCCAGCTACTCAAGAGGCTGAGGTGGAAGAATTGCTTGAACCCCAGAGGTGGAGGTTGCAGGGAGCCAAGACGGCACTCCAGCCTGGGCAACAGAGTAAGACATGTCTAAAAACAAAAACAGGCCAGGCGTGGTGGCTCACGCCTGTAATCCAAGCACTTTGGAGGCCAAGGCAGGCAGATCACCTGAGGTCGGGAGTTTAAGACCAGCCTGACCAACATGGTATAAACCCCACCTATATAAAAAATAATAATAATTGCCGGGCACAGTGGCTCACGCCTGTAATCCCAGCACTTTGGGAGGCTGAGGCAGGTGGATCACGAGGTCAAGAGATCGAGACCATCCTGGTCAACATGGTGAAACCCCGTCTCTACTAAAAATACAAAAAAATTAGCTGGGCATGGTGGCGCATGCCTGTAGTCCCAGCTACTAGGAAGGCTGAGGCAGGAGAATTGCCCGAACCCAGGAGGCGGAGGTTGCAGTGAGCCGAGATCACGCCATTGCACTCCAGACTGGGTAACAAGAGCGAAACCCTGTCTCAAAAAAAAAAATAATAATAATAATAATAATAATTTAAAAAAAAACAACAACACTGAAGTAGTGCAAGACTTCCATGTCCAGGCTCTAGTCCTGACTCCACTCTGAAACCGTGAGCAAGTCACTCAAGCTCTCTGAATCTCAGTTGCCTGGTTAGTAAAGGGAGACAGGCCTACCTACCTGGTGGGATCAAGTGAGAAAATGCACAGGAAGCTTTTGTAAACTGGAAAGTGATCCAAATATGACTCCCAGTGATTAGGCAGGGCGCTGCCCTCTGCCCCTGCCCCACCCCACCCTACCCCTGAGGTTCCATTAGCACTGCTTACTTTTGGGGCTGGGGAGGCCATCCACTCTGATGAACTTCCCCTTGGAGGTTGGGACCTCAAGCACAGCGGGCCTCCCAATCCCCTCCAGATCCAGCTTCCTTTTGGCCTGGGAGAGAGGTGGGAGAGAGAGGCAGAGTTTGAGAATCAATCCTCCTGTAGCCTTTCCTGATGTGGGGCCAAAGTGATAAGGCCACTAGCAGCCACCTCTGTACCTCAGTTTACTGCCAGTCCTGGTGAAGCACTGCTGTCTTTGATAGGAAAATATCAATGACCTGAGAAGTGAGCTTTCAGAGGAAGTCTTGTTTTCTGAAGGGCAAATCAAACTCTCATCCTCTGGGGCCCAGGCACTTGAGACCCTACTAAAACCAGTCTGGCCAAAGGCTCAGGGTTCCTTAACCACAGGCCCCAAGTATGCCCCTACACCCGCTCCTCACCCCACCACACCCAGAGGATGATACTGGGAGGAAGCAGTGGGTGGGGCCTAAACCACATCAGGGTGGGGAAAGCCCCCCCCCAATACAGAAGCAGATGGCCCAGCCAGACTGAGTGCCCATCACAGTCCCACAGCTGGTCCTTATCAGGGTGGGGCTGGGCATCCGCCCAGACCCAGGAGACTTCCTGGCTCAGTGCCACACCCCAGGGAGGTGCCCACAGTGGGAAGCAGTGCAAACATCCCCACCCCCATGTTTGGGCTCCAGCTTGAGGGCCCCAGGGTCTCCTGAATAGACTGCATTTGCCATTCTTTCTTTGCCGAGAGGGGCAGACAATGAATCCTTCCCAAGTCTTAAGGACAAGCAGCTGAGGCCACCCCTCCCCCCTCCCCATTCTCCCTCTCTGTTCCCGCCAAGCTTGGGAAACACCTGCTGGGGAAATCAAACCACAGACCCATCTGCTCCTCTCCACCCTGTCACCACCCAGGCCCCAATTAGGCCCAGAGCTGCACTGCCCCGGAAAGGCCCTCTCTCCTGGTTAGGGCTGGGCAGGGGCAGGGCAGGGGCAGGACTGGGGCACTGGGACACTGGGATAGAGGTCAGAGACCCATGTTTGAAGCTCCAGCTCCTTCACAGGCTCACTGTATGACTTGGGGGAAAAGTTCCACATCCAGGAGCCTCAGTTTCCTCCTCTGTAAATGGGATCGAAAATGCCTGCCTCAAGGGGCTATTGTAAGGATTCAAGGAAGGCACCACCTGGGCAGCCTCTGGGTCTTAAAAACCTTGGAACAGGCGAATTAATCCCCCAGTCTCTTCCCTTTGAATCACTTAGCTCCCTGGCTAATGCATGCGGGAGAAACACCCTAGTTAGCCCCTGCTCCTTTAAATTCTGTAAAGTTCTCAGACTGTGTCTCAGCACACAGTGGGTGTTTAGGGAACACACAGTCGAGTCCCTTCCCTAAAATCTAAGATCAGCCTCTTCCTTGACACATCCTTCTGGCAGTCATCAAGCCCATTTCTTTCCTCCTTCAAACCCTGGGTTCCCCAGACAACCCTAACCTGGCTTAGACAGACCAGGCTTATTTTAACATTTGGTGGTGAGGTCATGCTCGGCAGGGCTGAGACTTCTAACTGCTGCTGAGCACAGCTGGGCTGACAGGTGTTGGGGGTGGTGACAGCTCTTCCTGCTGTCAGTTCCCCTTCCCCTACTCCTGCCCCCTCCAGGACGTCGTCCTGGGCTGATTTGAGGAGCCCTGCTCTTTGGTCTGAGGAGCCTAGATATGACACTCCTTCTCTCCACCACTACCCAGACGTAGACACCATCCAAACACTTTCCTGCTCATTCCTCATGAAGTCTCTTGAATATTCCTTTTCTACCCTCCTCACTGGTGAAATCCTAAATTCTAGGGATTTAGCCCCACCCTGTCACTAGAGAAAGGCCCAGTCACTGCCTGAGACCTTCCACATGCCCTGAGCCACGCCCCAACATCCATAGCTTCACCGAATCTTCCCACACCACTAATCCCCATTGTTCAGCTGCAGTAACTGAGGCTTGGTGAGCTCCCAGGCCTCCATCCATCCTGACCAAGGCTGCGCATCCTAGTATTCTTCATATATCCCTGGGCAGGAGCACCAAGGGCAGGGAGAGGAAGGGAAGTTCAGGCCAAGTTCTATCTGAGGCAGAGGTGGGGGAGCCCAGAGTCTACCCAGCCACACCTGCCTCCCCACTGGAACACACCAGGAAGAAACCCGGAAAGACCTTGAACAGAATATCTATGCCGGGCCTATTACATGCTCACAACAGTCCTGTGACATCAGTATTGGCATTCGCTCTCAGAGGACAAGAATTGGAAACTCACAGAGGGTAAGCGGCATGCCAAAGGTCATACAGAGGTCACGGCCAGGGTTTGAACCCAGGCCTATCTGACTCCAAAGCCATGTACCAGGCTGCTGCAGCTCCATTCCACACACATTGCTCCAGGATTTGCTAGAATTTGTTCCAAAGCCTGGGCATATACAGTGCGTGCACTACACACATACACACACACACACACACACACACACACACTTCTCTCTTTTCTCACTCTCCCTCACCCTTATTCTGCACTCCCAGAGTCCCAATGCAGCAAAGTGTCCCCTATGGATACCTCCCAGACACCTCTGGGTAGTGCTCAGAGGAAAGCCAGCCTATGGCTTGGGCTGAGCCTGCAGAACAGGTGGCAGAGGCCAAGCCCAGGAGGATCAAGATCGAGGTGAGGCTGAGCACAGGTCTTGGAGTCAGACTGGCCTGGCTTTGCATCTAGGCTTTCCCCCTTCTTAGCTGGGAAATCAGTTGACCTCAAATCACCTATAAAATGGGCATTATGGTCTCCACCTATGCTGAGGATTCAGCTAGATAGCGCAGCAAAGCACTTTGCCCATAGGGAGTGCTCCCACCAGGGAGGGGGACGCCAGTGGGAAAAGGGGAAAGTTCAAGGGTGAACTGAAAAGAGACTGCGGTGGGGGAAGGGGAGCAAAGGCTGTGGCCACAGCCAGAGGCTGACTTAGCTCTGCCCTGGGCACTCTTAGGCAGCCCCTTTGGCTGGATCTTAAAAGCCTGGTCAGGACTCAAGCCCACCCTGCCAACCCCTAGGGAGAAGAGTACAGCTCCTTCCTCAGGCATCTGCAGAAGTGCAGAGGGTCAGAGATCCCCAGGCACAACCCCATCACGGGCAGCAAGGTGAGGAAACTGGGGCTTGGGGAAGAGGAAGTGCCTTGCCCAAGGTCACGCAGAGTGGAGCCTGGTCTCTCCTAAACCCTAAGTAAGATGGTGGAGGTAGGAGCAAATGTAAGGGGTCGAAATTCGCTTTCAGATCCCAGCTCTGCACTCGGTAGCTGGGCAGCCTGAGATTCACTGTCTTGCCTCTCTGGGCCTGCATCTCCTCATTCAACCTGCCTTGCAGACTTGTTTGTTAAAATGTGTATTTTCTTTCATGGCTCACAAGAGGAAATTTGGAAAATGTAGACAAAAGAAAAGGAGGGCTGGGCACAGTGATTCACATATGTAATCCCAGCACTTTGGCCAAGGGGGGCAGATCACCTGAGGTCAGGAGGTCGAAACCAGCCTGGCCAACACGGTAAAACCCCGTCTCTACTAAAAATACAAAAATTAGCCAGGCATAGTGGCAGGTGCCTGTAATCCCAGCTACCTGGGAGGCTGAGGCAGGAGAATCACTTGAACCTGGGAGGCAGAGGTTGTAGTGAGCAGAGAGGATGCCATTGCACTCCAGCCTGGACAGAGCTTCCAGCAGGGATGAAAGAGAATGATACTCTGTGCCTGCCAGAGGAGGCATGAAATAAAGGAGCATCCCCTGACCCTTCCTCAGAGGACTTGGAAAGAGTTCTGGACAGGGAGCCAGGAGATCTAGGTTCTGACTTTCATTCTGCCATTGAACTTGGTTGCCATCCTTGGACAGTGCCTGAGGTCCCTTTAAACAGAAGCTCCCCAACAAATCCTGCTCACCCTGCACTTTGCAGCCTGGCCACAAAGCAAGCGGCCACACCCAGGGTTAGATTTGGACCTGCTCCAGGTCACACCCTTGTAAAATGAGTAAGCAGAGGGCAGGCCTGCCCACAGGGCTGGGCCCCGGGCACCTGGGGATTGACAGGAGCAGGAGCTCTGGGCCTGGCAGCCTTTAGGGTGCTCTGCTGCAAGGAGACTCCCCTGCTTCTTTGCTTGTGACCTGGGCAAGGGACTTCCTTTCTTTGCTCAGTTTCCTCATCTGCAAGATGCCTCATTTTGGACATCTTGACCAAGATAATGAGCGTGAAGAGTGCCAAGCAGTGTCTGGCACATGAGTGGCCTCAGTAAAAGAGAGCCCTTCTTGCTAAGATCACTGAGGCCCTCTGGGAGGGAGGTATGGACAGATGCACTTTCGCTCCTCTGGGAGGGTTCAAAGCAGTTCAAAACCACAGCTGTTACTGAAACATCCAGTCTGAAAGCAGCTGGCCAGAGAAAAGTAGGCCTGCCGAAGCGCTCCCTTCCCTGCGGGGAACACAACTTCTAAGTCAGGCAGTATTGAAGAAAGTCAGGGCTACATAGAGAAGAGCCTACTGCCTGACCAAGTGCAGTATCTCACGCCTGTAATCCCAGCACTTTAGAAGGCCAAGGCAAGAGGATTGCTTGAGCCCAGGAGTTTGAGAACAGCCTGGGAACATAGGGAGGCCCCTGTCTCTACAATAAAAAATTTTAAAGAAGAGAAGAGCCTACTGCCTTGTGAGTCCCATCACTCTAGCCCATCCCCATCTCTCTGACCTTAGGTCATATCCCCTCTCTGAGCCTCAGTTTCCCCCGTAACATGGAGCTACTAATGCCATCTATTTCACAAACTACAAAAATATTTTAGGCTATAAAACACTGGGCCAAGCGTGGTAATCCCAGCACTTTGGGAGGCTGAGGCGAGTGGATCACAAGGTCAAGAGTTCAAGACCAGCCTGGCCAATATGGTGAAACCCCGTCTCTACTAAAAATACAAAAATTAGCTGGGTGTGGTGGCGCGTGCCTGTAATCCCACCTACTTGGGAAGCTGAGGGAGGAGAATTGCTTGAACTGGGACCCAAGAGGTGGAGGGTGCAGTGAGAGCTGAGATCACGTCACTGTACTCCAGCCTGGGCTACAGAGCGAGACTCTGTCTCAAAAAAAAAAAAAAAAGGCCTGATGTGGTGGCTCACGCCTGTAATCCCAGCACTTTGGGAGGCTGAGGTGGGTGGATCACCTGAGGTCAAGAGTTCAAGACCAGCCTGGCCATCATGGTGAAACCCCATCTTTATTTTAAAAAAAAAATATATATATATACATATATATATATATATATATATGTATATATATACATATATATATATATATATGTATATATATATTTTTTTAAAAAAAAAAAACAAAAAACACTGAACACAAAATGCCCAGTCTGAGTTATCCTTGGTTGCTTAACCTGTAAAGTGGGGATCATACTATTCCTGCTCACTGCCCTTCTAGTTAGAAGTAATGTACAGTAAGGGTTTCCCAGTTAGAAATAATGTCCAGTGAGGTTAAAGTTTTGAACATGGGCAAAGCCTGAGTCCACTGGCAGGGAGTTGTGGCTCTGCCTGCATCCAGAGCTGGCTGGGTATCTGTGCCTGCTGACTAGCACAGGTCTGACCAGATGCCTCTGGGGCAGTGGGCAGTGGTCTTATCCCTGTACCTGAACTTACTCAAAACTAAGCAAACCTACAACATCCCCTTCCCTTCCCTGGAGCCTGCTTCCAAAACCCAAGACCTGGAGCTGAACGTGGCTGAGAAGAGCTAGCCCCACAGCCGCCCTGTGCACACATGCATTGTCAAGGAGAGGAAACTGAAGCCCAGAGGACACACACAATTAGTGGCAAAGTCAGACCAGAAACCAGGCTCCTCAACCACCACCACCTGACTCCCCCGGGCTTTTCCCACTCCACCCCCAACCCTAAAGTTGTTTTGATTCAGACGGGCTCCAAGACTTCCACTCCCACAAAACACACCCTGAGCCCAGATCGGCAGGCAGCCTGGTGCCACTACACTTTGGGCCCTCTCTGGCAACGAACCTGGGGGCTTGGGGAGAGAGCAGCCAATGTGAACGGAACCCAAGGGGCTGCCCTCATTTGTATCTGCTACAGGCTGTCTGGGAGGAAAGACTGGGCCTCGGGGAGGACCTAGGGCAGATACTTGGGACTATGCCAGGAGTTGACTGGACAACTTGGAGTCTGTCCATGGCAGATTGGACCTGAGAGACCCACTAGACCTATCCCTCTGTCTTAAAGTCCTACCGTGCCCCCAGGCCATGCCCTTTGCCTAGACAATAGCAGGCACCCAGTACTGGTTTCTGGGCCAAACAATGAAGTAATGAATGAATGGCGGCAACGCAGGCTGCATGGACTTCCCCGCGGTCACACAGTGTAGTGGGAGTAGTGGGTTGGGTCTCCCTCCAGACCCGCAATCCAGTGCTCATTCCACTCCACTAGAATGGTTGGGATTACTTCATCCAAAGTCTGAAAATCAAAGGGTCTTTTACTCAGATAGTGGGGGCACTGGGTCCTGGGAACTGAAACTTCATCTTCCCTCTCCCCAAAACTCTACCTGTTTCACTCAGACTAGATCTCAGGCGCCCCTCCCTCCTTTCCCACACCTGGAAAAGCATAGAGGGAAGGGGTGGGGACCCCCAGCATTACCGGCAGCCGGCCTGCCGGCAGGCATCGCACAACTTGGCCCTCGGATCCATGGGGAGTGGCGTCGAGGCAGGTGCCGGGCGCCGCAGCGGGAGGCGCCGTCTGCGGGTACAGCGGCGTGTAGTAGGTGGTAGTAGCTGGGCAGAGCTGGGGGCTGCTGAGGCCGGGCGGCCACAGCTCGGTGGGGCTCATCGCGGGCACCACCTTCGGGTGCTGCCCAGTGGCCGAAGCCAAGATCCGGGGCCCTCGCAGCATAGCGAGTAAGGCGCCCCCTACCCAAATGGGCCTGGCGCGCCCTCGGACACCTGCGGGATCCGGTGCTGCCGCCGCTCACACAGCCCGCGGCATGGCGCGGAGGCCGGGGGAAGCCGCCAATGGACGCCTGCGGAGCAAGGCCAGACCCTCCCCTCCTGGCCCGCGGCCGAGCCGAGCAACGCTTGGAGATCGCCGCTTGGAGACTGCCCGGCGGCTGCGGTGGTGGCACTGCCAGGGGCGGGCACCGCGACCCGGGACGCCCCGCGCCCCCCAAGGCCACGGCACCTGGGGTCCGGCCGGTTCTGGGGAGGGGTCCGGGCGTGCCCGCGAGCTCGGCGGAGACGCGATGCGCTGGGACGGGGATGGGGATCTTGACTCCACCGACTTCCTCGCGGCTTGCTCTCTAGTTCCTGAGTCTTTCTCTTTTTTTTTCTTCTTTTTTTTTTTTTAGCGCCAAACTGCGTGCCGCGAAATTCGGATCTCCCGCGGAAAATGCCGCGCTCCGGTTGGCTGCAGCGATAGTACAGGCTCCACCCCCCGGAAAGAACCCGTCCGGGAGGCGGCGATTGCAACACGAGCCTCGCTGCTTAAAGGGGCAGCCACACCTGCTGCCGGTGCAGCCTGCCGCCGGCCAGCGCTAGCGAGCAGCCGGCGAGACGGAGACGGGGGGTGGTTCCGGGATGCACAGTGCAGAGGCGTCCAGAGCAGTGCACAGCGCGCTGAGAAATGGGCCCGGGTTCCCTGGGATTGAAGGGAAACATTTTGGCGCGGGGTCCGGACCCGAGCCCAGACCCAGCAGTGTAGTCCCCAGGCCACAGGCCCTTTCGTTAGTTTGCATTGCTGCTTAGCTAGCACATGTGCATTCATATCCCCTTTCCTGCTAAAATGAAGGCCAGGAACCTGTTCCCTTTAATGGCAGAGGGGTGAGGAACGGAGTCACACTAGCCAACTTCTTTTTAGGGAAAACTAACATCTATTCAGCACTTGCAGTATGCCAAGCATAGACAGATGCTAGATCGTTACAAGGGTTGTTTAATTTATTCCAACAATCCTGGGAAGAGGAATGATGATCCCATGATAAAGACTGAGAGTCTGAAAAGCTGGGTAACTTGCCCACGGTCATACAGAGAGATTCCCTGATTTCAGAGCTGGCAATGCAATCTGGGACAGGTCCCAGCTCTGGAGCCCTTGTTTTTCCAGTTAAGGGGCTCTTCGCCTACTCTCCCAAGCTGCCTGCCCGCCCAGCAGAGTCAGAGGCCCAGTGCAGGGCTTTGTCTTGTTCGCAGTTGTATTCATAGAACCCAACACTCAGTAAATGTCTGAGCATCTCCAGGTATCTTAAACAATCCTTTTGTCACAAGAGCCTCCCTGCCTCATTCAAAAACCTTCATTCCTCATCACTCGAGTTTAGAGAGACTCAGAGAAGCAACCTTGGGTAGTGAGTGATAAAGCTGCTGCTAGATTTCAAGTCTGATTCTTGCCTGGTGCTGTGTGATTTTTTTTTTTTTTTTTTTTTGAGACGGAGTTTTGCCCTTGTTACCCAGGCTGGAGTGCAATGGCACGATCTCGGCCCACCGCAACCTCCGCCTCCTGGGTTCAGGCAATTCTCCTGTCTCAGCCTCCTGAGTAGCTGGGATTACAGGCACACACCACCATGCCCAACTAATTTTTTGTATTTTTAGTAGAGACAGGGTTTCACCTTGTTGACCAAGATGGTCTCGATCTCTTGACCTCGTGATCCACCCGCCTCGGCCTCCCAAAGTGCTGGGATTACAGGCTTGAGCCACAGCGCCCAGCCCGCTGTGTGATTTTTATGCAAGTCTGAGCCTTGGCATGCAAAGCCCTCCAGAGACAGTCCACAGCTTAATTTCTCATCAGATGGTTGAGGACAAGGTGGCAATAACCCATGATGATTAAGAGCCCAGACTTTGTAGCCAACAGCTCTGAGTTCAAACCCAAGCCCAGACACTTTGTTAGTTTCGTGACCCAGGCATATTTTGTAAATTCTCTGATCCTTGATCCTTGATTTTCTCATCCAGTAGCACTTACCTCCTAGGATAATGAGGAAATCTCATGAGACAATGCATATAAAGCTTTCAGCACAGAACCTGGTTCATAAGGAGCCTCAAGAATTGGCAGCTGTTGTTATATCTCCCACTTTTTTTTTTTTTTTTTTTTTGAGACAGAATCTCGCTCTATCACCAGGTTGGAGTGCGGCAGTGTGATTCTCCTGCCTCGGGTTCAAGTGATTCTCCTGCCTCAGCCTCCCACGCAATTCTCCTGCCTCAGCCTCCCACGCAGTTAGGATTACAAGTGCCAGCCATCTTGCCCAGCTAATTTTTGTATTTTCAGTAGAGGCGGGGTTTCACCACGTTGGCCAGGCCAGTCTCTGACTCCTGACCTCAGACGATCCGCCCACCTTGGCCTCCCAAAATTCTGGGATTACAGGCATGAGCCACCACACCTGGCCACATCTCTGACCTTATCTCCAGTGCCTAAGACCTTTTTACTCTAGTCTACCTATCTCATTGGTCCTTTGAGGCCCAACTTAAACCTCACCTTCTCCGGGAAGCCTCCCCTGCCCGCTTTCTCTCAGCTAGAATTCCTCTTGCCCTCTTGGGACCCTTAGTGTATTCTACCTCAATAAAACAAGGTGATGTTTGCATACCTTGTTTATCAGTTCGGTTCTGTGCTCCTTCAAGAATCTAGGTCAGATCTCTCTAGAATGCCCCTCAGCATCTAGGGCCTGGCTTGGAGTGCAGAAGGCGGGTAACAATACTGATTATGATTCATTCATCTCCCTTGCTGCAAAGGATAGGAGAAGTTAATGAGATCTGAAGTCAGAAAGTCAAGAGGCCCAGATTAAGTCCCACTGTCTACTTCCTAGCTGAGTGACACCAGACAGCTGCTTCTTCACATCTCTTAACCACAATTTCCTCAACCATCAAATGTGGATAATGCTATCACTCAGCCAATTTCACAGGACTTCAGAAACACTATTAAAATTATAGTGGTGGTGATGATCACCGATTTTTATTGAGAACCTACTATATGCTGGGCTCTAAGCACCTTGAGCCCCTCCTCTGATCCTCACAACACTGCTCTGAGACAGACACTATTATTATCCCCATTTTACAGATGAGGGAAGCTGGAAGGAATTGTGGCAGAGCAGGTTTGGGGAAGAAGCAGAGCCCCAGGGCCAGGGAGGGAAATGGGGGTGGCAGGGTGGAGCTGGGAGAAAAGAAGGGAGCCAGTGAGGGGCTGAGAGCCAGCTCTCTGTGGTTGAGTTTCGGGCAGCTGGGGCTGGCTTTAGAGTTTCACCTCCTGGGAACTAATTTTTGCAAGAGGCGTGGGGCACAGATCTGAAATCTGCCTCCCTGAGCTTGAATTCCTGCCCCATTCATTCCTAGCATTGTGATCCTGGTCAGGTCGCTGGACCATTCTGAGCCTCAATTTCCTCATCTTAGAAATGGGGGTGACACAAGTGACCTCTCCATTTACTGTGAGGACTTAGTAAGGTGTTGGTTGTAAAGTCCTTAGAGAAGTGTCAGATGCATGGTAGGTACTTAATACATTTTAGCTAACGTTTATGTGAAATGGACCAGAAGAGGCCCTCACATGGAACCGAACTAAATACTTGCAGTTTCAGGCGGGGCACAGTAGTTCAAGCCTATAATCCCAGCACTTTGGGAGACCAAGGTGGACAGATCTCTTAAGCCCAGGAGTTCAAGATCAACCTGGGCAACATGCCGAAACTCTCGCTCCCAAAAATATAGAAAAATTAGCTGGGCATGGTGGCACATGTCTTAATCCCAGCTACTCGGCAGCTGAGGTGGGAGGATCACCTGAGCCCAGGGAGGTCAAGGTTGCAAGTGAGCCATGATCATGTCACTGCACTCCAGCCTGGGCGACAGAGTAAGACTGTCTCAAAACAAACAAGCAGTGGCTCATGCCTGTAATCCCAGCACTTTGGGAGGAGGAGGTGGGTGGATCACTTGAGGCCAGGAGTTCGAGATCAGCCTGGTCAACATAGCAAAAACCTGTCTCTACTAAAAACACACAAAACAATTAGCCAGGCGTGGTGGGATGTACTTGTAATCCCAGGTACTTGGGAGACTGAGGCGGGAGAATCGCTTGAACCCAGGTGGCAGAGGTTGCAATGAGCCAAGATCCTGCCACTGTACTCCAGCCTGGGCCACAGAGCGAGATTCTGTCTCAAATAAATAATTTTTTTAAAAAATAAAAAAACAAACAAAAAAACCTCAAGAGTTTATGCCACACATGCCCTACACTTTCCCATCTCCCAGGTTTTGCTCACCTGGCTCCATATCCTCCTATTCTCCAGGCGCCTCCTCCCCTCCATTCCCTTGTGCCCAAGTCTGACCCATCCTTCAAGGTCCAACTCAAATGGAGTGCCAGAAGCAATGAATCTAAAGTCAGACATCCCTGGGTTAAAACCCAGGCCCTGACACTTTATTATCTGTGTGACCCAGCCAAATTTCGTAAATTCTCTGATCTTTGATCCTTGATTTTCTAATCCTCCTAGCACTTACCGCATAGGATTGTGAGGAAATCTCATGAGATGATGCATATCAAGCTTTCAGCATACCTGGTTCATAAGGAGCTTCAAGAATTGGCAGTTGCTGTTATATCTCCTACCCTATCTGCAGTGCATAAGACCCTTTTACTCTAGTCTACCTAGCAACAGAGCTTCAAACTCCTTGGGGGCAGGACCCAGGCTTTGCTTTCACTTTTGTGCCTTCCTCCCCTGAGAGTGCCAGGCACATAGTGATAATGCCTGGCACCCATTTCCTGAGAACTCAGCTAGGTATTTTACATACATTTTTGTTGAAACCTCCCAACTACCCTGTAACACAGGTACATTTTTGGACAGATGAAGAAATTGAGGCTGAAACATGTAAAGGAACTTGACAACTGTTTAAAGATGAAATAAGGATCTGAACTCAGATCTCTGTCTCCAAGGGCACAGCGCTGTTGCGAACAATGAACTCAGCCCCAAAAACCCCATGTGAAGGAGGGTACAATCTGCTAATTAACCAGGGGTTCCAGTGCTGCAGACATTGTTGGAAGTGGGAAGAGTGTGCCCCACAACTGGATGAGTTAGGGATGCTTAGTACTATTTTCCAGATAAGGAAGCCATGATTTGCAAAGCAGGTAAGTGAGGAAGCTCCTGTTCCAGGCAATGCCAGATAGTCCTTGAAAAATCCCCAAACTAGAGGAAACTTCCATTCCAGCTGGTGTATCTTCTCCTGAAAAATTCCTCCGATTCCCTGTGACCAAAGTCCTATTAATCAGGATACAAACTGCTTCACAGAAGTCTCCCGAAGGTATATATCCCCTGTCCTGGACTCCCCAGCATGTCGCCTGTTCACATGAATCTCAAATCACAGAG